TCCTTTACGACGGCTTGTTTTTTTTTTCTCCACAAGTTTCACCATGCTATGTGCCCTAGTGTGGTAAGAAGCTCCAACAAGGCCGTTAGGTTGGATTTTTTCATACGGACCCAGAGTGCAATCATAGGCACTAATACCCCTTACTGCCCCATCTTCCGAAACCAGGCCGGTTTTTTAACGACTTTTTTTCCGATGGTAAATTTGGCTGAAAACTTGTCGCTCGAGGAACTTTGACTTCCTGAACAGGAATATAACATCTGTTTGGCCGAAACCCGCGCCACAGGCGCTGGCACCAAAATGCCGCAAATCGTCAAAGTCGCTGAAATTTCGTCCCGGTCTAGTTTGACCTCCTGAACACGAGCAGCACATCTGCAGGACTGCACAGAGAGTTAATAATGGAGAAAAGGGTGGGGCTGCATGTGACAGCACGGTCTGCTTTTACTCTTCTGCACCATTCTTTCGGATAGTGATCTCTTCCCGCCGCCTAAGACTTAGCCTAAGCAAAGGGAAAATCACCATTGCAGGCAAGCAGAGAGATATTAGATATAGAGAGCAGATATTTTGTCTTGCTGTGTTCCCCTTGTTGCCCGGTTACAGGGCTCTTGTCAATAGGACATGTTCCTGGTGCGATGGTCCAAAGGTTTTTCTCTCATCATCTACTGGTCCAGATGTTGAATTGAGATGGAAAAGAAAGAAGGAAGAGAGAAGGAAGGAAGGAAGGAGGATGGAAGCTAAAGTCTGCGTTCATACCGTGTGACGAGCCGTCAACGTCGACGTAACCGACGTTTTCGACGAAAGTGGCGAAACCGACGTAAGTGACGAAAGCTGCGTAACCGACGAAACTGACGACTTCGGCGACTGTGCCAAGAAATAAGCTTTTCGTAGATGGTTTTTCCCCACAACTTTTTTCACATCACTTATTTATTTCCTTTTCTGTTTGTAAAACAATTTCCCCTATCCAACAACTAGTAGAAACTATGTGGTTGGTGATTCTGCTAGGGCGCATAAGTCATCTGACATCAACCAGCATCTTTTCCATTGTTCTCCTGACGATGGGTTGAGATTGCACAATAAAAGAAGGGCTTTGGTAGCCGACTCACTAGCTATTCTGAATTTTGTCACACGAGGGCTTAACTGAGTTTACCGTACCGCGACATACACGTGAATGACACAGCATATTGGTATGAAGGAAGCTCGGCGGTTTTGAA